AGTTTTGGGCCTACACCTCCCCTCCCCCCGCCAGCCGCCAAAGACTTGACCACGTAACGAGCCCAACTCCCCCGAACGCCGCCCGCCGCTCGCCATGGATGCCGGTGTGACTGAAGGACTAAATGTGACTCTCACCATTCGGCTTCTTATGCACGGAAAGGAAGTAGGAAGCATCATTGGGAAGAAAGGGGAGTCGGTTAAGAGAATCCGCGAGGAGAGTGGCGCGCGGATCAACATCTCGGAGGGGAACTGCCCGGAGAGAATCATCACTCTGACCGGGCCCACCAATGCCATCTTTAAGGCTTTCGCTATGATTATTGACAAGCTGGAAGAAGATATCAACAGCTCCATGACCAACAGCACTGCGGCCAGCAGGCCCCCGGTGACCCTGCGGCTGGTGGTGCCGGCCACCCAGTGCGGCTCCCTGATTGGGAAAGGCGGCTGTAAGATCAAAGAGATCCGCGAGAGCACGGGGGCCCAGGTCCAGGTGGCGGGGGATATGCTGCCCAACTCGACCGAGCGGGCCATCACCATCGCTGGCGTGCCGCAGTCTGTCACCGAGTGTGTCAAGCAGATCTGCCTGGTCATGCTGGAGACGCTCTCCCAGTCTCCGCAAGGGAGAGTCATGACCATTCCGTACCAGCCCATGCCGGCCAGCTCTCCAGTCATCTGCGCGGGCGGCCAAGATCGCTGCAGCGACGCTGCGGGCTACCCCCACGCCACCCATGACCTGGAGGGACCACCGCTAGACGCCTACTCGATTCAAGGACAACACACCATTTCGCCGCTCGATCTGGCCAAGCTGAACCAGGTGGCAAGACAACAGTCTCACTTTGCCATGATGCACGGCGGGACCGGATTCGCCGGAATTGACTCCAGCTCTCCAGAGGTGAAAGGCTATTGGGCAAGTTTGGATGCATCTACTCAAACCACCCATGAACTTACCATTCCAAATAACTTAATTGGCTGCATAATCGGGCGCCAAGGCGCCAACATCAATGAGATCCGCCAGATGTCTGGGGCCCAGATCAAAATTGCCAACCCAGTTGAAGGCTCCTCTGGTAGGCAGGTTACTATTACTGGCTCGGCTGCCAGTATTAGTCTGGCCCAATATCTAATCAATGCCAGGCTTTCCTCTGAGAAGGGCATGGGGTGCAGCTAGAACAGTGTAGATTCGCTCATAACCCTCTTCTGCTGTTTTCCCATGATCCAACTGTGTAATTTCTGGTCAGTGATTCCAGGTTTTAAATAATTTGTAAGTGTTCAGTTTCTACACCTTATCATCCGCTAAGAATTTAAAAATCACATTCTCTGTTCAGCTGTTAATGCTGGGATCCATATTTAGTTTTATAAGCTTTTCCCTGTTTTTAGTTTGTTTTGGGTTTTTTGGCTCATGGATTTTATTTCTGTTTGTCAATAAAAATGTAAGAGTGGAATGTTTAAATTTCAGTTTAGTTCTGTAATGTCAAGAATTTAAGAATTAAAAAATGGATTGGTTAAAAAATGCTTCATATTTGAAAAAGCTGGGAATTACTATCTTCAACTCTTTGTTGGTGCTTTTTTTTTCCTTCCCTTTTAGTGTTAAGTGCTCAGAGGGTGGTGGGAGAAGGGTGGGCCTGTTGGTATTCTTTGAAGCTCTTTCATTTTATCGATAAGAATCCATTTCCTCTGCCTCCAACAAAGGAACACAGCAGGTTGGGCCTGCTTTGGGATGTTTGGAGATGGAGGGCTCTTCAGGAAATGGTCTCCCACCCAAGTTCCAGAGAGAGGCCTCAGCCCATTTCTCTGGTAGAAATCGAAAGGTTTTCTCAGGTGGAAGAAAGTACCCATTCAGTAGGAGCTGATGAATGGAGAGCCTTCTCTCCATCTAGCAAGACTTCTCTACCCCCATCCCACAAGAAAAACTTAGCCAGGAACAATAAAATACGGGGTGGGAGGACCCTGGTGGGGGGCAGGGATTGGGGGCGAGGGCAGGATAGGAGGGCGACAGCTGCGGGGTGGTGGAGCCGGAGGGTCTGGGTTGTACGCAGGAGGGGTGGGGGATGGTACCAGCGGTGCCTCGCACGCGGCAAGCACGCACCTGTGGCAGGCAGCCTGTCAGAGGATGTTATTACACCTGTCAAGCAGCGTATCCAGGAACAAAAGGCCCAGTTTAAATTTTCAGCTGTGTGCGATGTTTAGGGACTCATCTCGAAGTAATCCCGCCTAAATGGGGCAGTCCTTGAAGATAGGATTCATTAACAGGCTAAGGACGACCAGGGTATTTAAAAAAAAAAGGCGAATTTCTGGCTCTCACCACCAAAATTATCAGAAAACTGCGTTTTTAGCAAACACCCGGGAAAGGTCTGAGTGCCACACTTAAGTGAATGAAGATTGTGTGGTACAGTCCTTGCAGCCTAAGGTCCACATCAGCTGATGCACTAGGCTGAACCTGAGGAAGAAAATTCTCTAACTGGGCAGGAACCAAAGTGGGTAGTTCAGGTACTACACAAGAGATTGATCCTGTGTTGGTGAATTATCCACAATAAACATTTGTTGAAGATTCTCTACAGAAATCTGCTTCTGGAGGCCTAGGTTTGACTCAGAGTCCCTGAAGGTAAGATTTCCATGCATTTCAACTGTGGGGTCAAACAGGCACTCAATGAAAGACGCCCAAATTCTGCAGTTAGACCTGCTGAAAGTATACACCTGCAGTCTGGTGTGGTGGCTCACGCCTGTAACCCCAGCACTTAGGCTGAGGCAGGAGGTTCACCTAGAGTTCAGACCAGCCTGGGCTACAAAGTTTAAATCCAGCCTGAACTCCATAGCAAGACCTTGTCTCAAAAAAGTATACACCTGGGTTTGAAAAAAAAATGAGAACATAAATTGTAAACTTCAATAAATTTTAGATTACAGAAGGCCTATCTCTAGGGCTGGGGATTTAGCTCAGCAGCATCGTGACTTCCTAGCAAGCATAAGGTCCTGAGTTTGATCCCCAGTATGGAAACAAAACAAAACAAAAAGCCTATTTCTGGAGTTAGGAATTGCCTAAAATATTTGAACAGAAAAGACAAAAGGGGGAGAGCAAGCCAGGGCAGTGGCACATGCCTGTGGTCCCAGCACTCTGACAGGCTGAGGCAGGAGGATTCAAAGCTCAAGCCAAGCCTGGGCAACTTAGTGAAACTCTCAAAATGTTAAAAAAAAAAAAAAAAAA